TTGCTAACTTGATTTCATATAACACACAATTTTAACACTGTAGTAGTCCCCCCTAAATCCCTCCCACTCTTCTTCTCTTCCCTATGTTATTGCTTAGATTGGATTATTTTGGACTTACATGTGGGATCTCCTCTATAAGCTATCAAAAGTACATTATTTACTATTTTAAATATTAATGGTCCATGTGTGTAAACAACTATTAAATTTATGAACATAGCTGGACAATATTAAATATGAAGTACTAAATAAATAGTAATGATAGCATAATATTTCATGATTTAATGAAATATATAAAATGTATTTTAACACACACACACATTTTGTTTTTCAGTGAGGCCCTTATTTTACCATGTAGGCAGTTCACACCATAGTACAAAAGTCCTAGGGGAAAAAAATTCTGTCATATTTTACTAATCTGTCTTTTGTGTTCTTTATTTTCAATAACAGAAAATGGTGTAATTTTTGTCAATGTCACATATAGAAAATGAGCATTCAGTTATGTTCTTTTCTGCATTCTATGCATAATTCTTTCAGTTAGTGCAGACATCATTCCTACTGAGAATTAAATAAAATCTGACTCATACAATCTCTTCTAAAAATTAAATCAGACAAATAAAAAAATAAAAAAGTTATTGTTTCAAAGAGATCTGTGTAAAAAATAGAGAGATGAATAAGAGTTTTCATCTTGAACACAAAAACAAAAGCATGACTTTCACAGCTTTTCAGTTGGAAAATAATCATTTACCTATTATTTGAAATTTGCAAGCTTTTGTGGTTCATAGCAAAATGTCTGCAGTTTTTTTAAAGTTTAGTTTTAAACTCTCTTTCATCAAAGTGGCAGTATTTAAATTTATAATTAATATTTTTTAAAAAATACATGTTACTGTGATATATTTTATAGGCTAAAACCTTCTAAATTATATAAAATAAGGTAACATGGTTAAAAACTTAACCCTAATACAATACCTCCTACTATTTTTTTTAATCATTCTTATTTTTACACTCCTTGGCACCAGGTGTTCAACTCTCTTATTTCCTGTCAAACTTAACTTTCCACAACAGCACAGTATTTTTGTATAGTGATCATAAAGGTTTCCATTATTGTAAGGATAGATAGCTTCCCTTTTTACACACCACAGAAAAAAATGCTCTCTTCTCTGAGGGTTCCAAAATGCTATATGTTTCTCCATTTAGATTGAACTCTGAGGTCATTCACAATAGGAATATTGTTAAGCAAAGGGGAAATCCGAAACTATGCTAAACCTACCACTTTTTTTTCCAAGTCTCCTTTCTAGCTTCCCCTCTCAAATCCTTAGAAATTTGTACATCATGTATTTGCACATGTGTACTTTTATGAAGCTATGATCTACTGTCCCTAGAAACAAACACCAAAGTATTATCATCATCCTTAGGTGTTTATGGAGAATTTAATAATTTACTCAATTTGCTCTAATTTTGATGCTGACTGTCGCTGAGTGCCCCATCACTACCTTCCACTCATTTCATCTCTGGGGAATGTTCTGTATCCTTAAGGGAACATTTAGCATTACCATCAGTTAGCTTTAATTAACTTCACATACATGAATGATGGGATACTAGATGCTAAGAAAAATAATTTAAATAGATCTGGTTTTTGCCTTCTAGCCACTTACATATTAAACCATGATAGAATGAGATGCTATTCTTAATTGGGCAGTCATTAGAAGTGCAGAATATTTCAAGTAAAAATTTAAAAATTAGTCAATTCAATTGCTTTCCTCCATGAAATTTTGCTTAATTATGCACAATAATATATGGTAAGCAAACAGCTAAAAATTAGTAGTGTATATAATGTACTTTTGAATTTCCAAGGTAACCTTGGTAGCAGACACTTGGCACCTTTAAGCTAGGCTTAAAGAATCTCAACATGCTAGGCCTGGTGGCATATACCTGTATTCCCAGTGGATCAGGAGGCTGAGTGAGGCAGGAAGATTAAGAGTTAAAAGCCAGTCTCAGCCACAGGGAGGTGCTAAGCAACTCATTAAGACCCTGTCTCAAAATCAAACACAAAGTAGGGCTGGGGATATGGTTCAGCGGTCAAGCACCACTGAGTTCAATCCCCAGTACTCCTCCCCCCAAAAAAACCTCAAAAAGCATAAACCATCCTCTAGCATACAAACAATAATCATATAAAGGTACTATGACTGTGGGTGGAAACAGATAATGTCAAGTCTAACCCATAATTGATGATGAAACAATACAAAGATCAAGACACTCAACAACCACAAAAATTAGCACTATTAATTAGTGTATCTTCATAATTACAAATCCTCTTCTGCTTTACCATTCATTTTCCATGTAAAATTACAAATACACCCATCACTAAAATGTTCCTAATCTGGACAGCACTTAATTCAGAGTATTTTATGAAAACCAGCACAAGCCTGAATCCTGTAACAAGTCTCGTTTCTTGCCTACACCCAATAATTCATCTGACATGTCTTCTTCTTCACCACAGAAAACTTAATAAATCTAAACTTGCCTGAGAATTGGTAGAATCTGGGGATGCCATTAGTCTTCAAAACTTCTTATAATTTAATCTCTAATATTTCTTCTATCATATGTTGAAATTTACAGTTAAATAAGCGATTATAAGCCTGTAATCACTTTGTTTGATATATATGTATAAAAGCTCAAAATTATTATACTGATGATCTGGGTGTTCTCAAAATATCAAATAACATAATTTTTTATATTTCAAAAGAACTTTTGATGAAATAAGAAGAAATAGGGAAGGCAGTTGACATTTATCTTAAGTCCATTAAATGCCACAAACTAGATTTAAGTTGTCTTGTTATAGGAATTAATTGTCTAACTTATAATCAAAGTTCAAGCAGTTTCAGTAATTCTCCAAGGTCACTCTATAAATTAATGTGCTGAATTTTGGAGATAATCTCCATTTGGGGTTCTAAAATGTGCTTGTTGCTGAATCTGCTTTGAGAAGGAGAAGACCGTTTAGTGAACTAATCCAATACAAATTCTTTTTTTAAATTATAATAATTCAAATAGCTAATAACATAAGAATAATTAGAAAGCAATGGACATTTATAATTAGATAACATTTTCTCAATCAAAAGTTAAATGAAATAGTTTCTCCTTGATACTTCTCCAGTCTTTTATCCTAATACTTACTTTATGTTATGCCGTTCTCAAGTTGTAACACTGGTATCCTTTGAAAGGAAAGTGACCACAACACTCAGAGCAACCAAGAGATTTTTAATGCAGTAGTGCAACAGAGGAGAAGAGAGAGAGAGAGAGAGAGAGAGAGAGAGAGAGAGAGAGAGAGAGGAGAGAGAGAGAGAGAGAGAGAGAGAGAGAGAGAGAGAGAGAGAGAGAACACGCGCAAAGGAGACAGAGCAAGAGAGCAAGAGAGAGAGAGAGAGAGAGAGAGAGAGCAAGAGAGAGGGGCCTGGCAGGAAGTAGTTTTTATAGCCCAAATCTAATAGGGTCTCTGGGTTTGCAAGCTGCCTTGTTGGCACACAAGGGAGTTAAGTGCTTGGCCTTGAGGAGGGGGTTGAATGTTCGGCCTTGAGCGGGGGGCTTGGGCGTTTGGGCTTGAAGCAAACATGTGATAAAGAACCAGACCGAGGGCTAGAGAAGCCAGGTCATCCTGCAGCTAACTTTGTTTGGCATGCCCTGCAGATAGCTTACTCAGCCTGTCCTGCACCTAACATCCTTGCTATTCCGAAATAAAAATACTAAGCATAGTCCCAACTCAGGAAGTTTTTCTTGCAGTGCGCACACACACACACACTCACACAGTCACTCACTTTTCTTCCATTTCCATATCCTTATTACCTCCACTAGTTTATTTTTCCTGTATAGTACTTATCATTATATGATACACTATATGTTGTATTTATTTATATTGTTTTTCTGTCATTCATATCTAGAATGGATGGCATAAAAGAAATAGGGTATTTTGTGTTGATAGTGTTGATGATGATTTTGACGAGACAATTTCAATTTGTTTTATCGTTCTTCTTTCTTGTTCTGTCTATAACTGCAATGCCCAAAACTATGATCATGACATAATAGACACTCAATAAATTCTTGCTGATTAAACAAATGAGAAAAAATGCAATGAGACATGATAGAAAACCAATATTTAGATTTCAGCAATTTTGGATTCAATGTAATTGTATGACAGACAAATTCTAAGTGGATATTATAATTTTATCACAGATAGTAAAAGCAATGAAAAATCTTCATCATGCAATTTGGAAAATATGAACTCCTGTCTTCTATTTTCTACTTTGTCTTATTTATATCAGTCCCTCCAGCTTTATTTTGGTAAAATACATATGAACCATTTCCTATATCCTTAGTACATTGCTAATATTAAAACTGCTATGATCAAAAGTCTACCATTCTCTAGTTGTCTGACTCACCCTCCAAACTCTTTGGGCTTCAGGTGTAACTTATGACTAATCAAGGTAACAGCTCACACAGCTTTTTGGGCTGTGAGAGTTAATGCTCTGAGAGCATTTAGCACTGCTAACTTGGAGTCACACAATTAACATTACTATTATTCATTGTAAATAACAATGATGATGATGATGATGATGTGCCTCTATGTTGAAACAGAGTTAGAATACCTAATAGGAAGGGTTTAAAACTACTTTAATTTAAAAAGCATAGCCAGGAAACCAAGTTTGCCTATTACAAAATTGATTTAATATAGCCACGCTACTTCTCCCCCACCACCATGCATACACATACATCATGCCTGAATTTTAAACATAATTAGGAATATTAACTTTATGAGATCTCCATTATTTTCCTTCATTGTCAAAATGACACTCAGATCAGGAGTACTTCCCTTTGAACGTGATTAATACTAATAATGAACATAGATTTTGCTGCACATTTGCTGTAATTTCAGGTAATTTTGAAATGATTTTAAATGCAGATGAGATTTGCTGCTGAGATAAAGAAGGGAGCAGTAGAGTTTTACTTACAGTGGATTTCTAGCACCTGCATGGCTACCTGAGGGGTGGCATTGAGGGATTCGTGGTCTACTCTGCAGATTACAGCCACTCCATCATCACTCCGGTCCACTCGGAAATCCAGTGTGCTACTGACAGTGAAAGTCTTGCGATTTGCATCCTCTTCTTTCAAATATTTTACATCTGTGAATAAAATCTGAGTATAAAAATCTTGTGACATCTTTCAATGTGTAACACATTACGTACTCAATACATGGAAAACAACTCTTCTTGCCTGTATGGATTTTAAAAAGCAATTATTCTTAGTTTTGTATTTAAAGTATCTCAATTTGCTAAAAAATATGTAACTACTTAAAAACAAACAGGAAGGTTTAAGTACAAATATAGAACAGAATGGTGGCACACACAGCATTGTTCTTTCTTTGGTGTTACGTTTAACCTATATTAGAGTAAGTTAAAAAATACTTTTTGTAGTCCATTTGAAAAATGGAGGTCACTTACAAAAGAAGTCTCCCCTTTCTCTCAGAAGTTTCACTAAAATATTTTCTTACTTTCTCTGAGTCACAAACGCAGTTGGGAAGAGCAAATTCCTGGCTATCTGGCTAGGTTTTGAAGCACAATCTATTTTCCCTCTGATTTTCACATAAGCAACATAAGGCAAACACAAAATTGCTCAAGAAAACTTAAGATGAGACAGTCGTGATCTTTGGCAAAGAAATGATGGAGCAGTCATCTGAACATTTTCAATATTTAAATACATAGATGCAGTGAGATCTAGAAAGTGTTCTTCCCTTGACTGAGAATTCCTTTTCAGTACCAGTGAGAATATTTTCCTCAAGATGTGAATTCACTTACTGATATGGTGCACTAAGGTTTTATTTCTTCTGTGAGAATAAATGGTTTAATAATATTTTTACTTAATTTATAATTTCTCAAGTCTGAAGTAGCTGATATGAAGAGGGCAATTTCAACAGTTTAGAAACCAAAATGCTAGACTAAGGTCAAGAAATGATTATAACAAGATCTTGAATTGAGAAGAAAATGTGTTCAGTTCTTATGATTTTTTTTCATTTTTCCCATCATCCAATATCAAATGAACAATTATATTTTCTAGAAATTAGTTCTTCACATACAGCACATATTTTATTTTACTGTGGATTAAAAAATGTCTAAAGATATTTCAAAATATTTTAGTGACAACAATCAACTAATCTCAACTCAATTGCTCCATTTTTCTTTCTTTGAATACTTTTAAAATAACATTGAATTTGATGTATTTATGAGTATATACTCATCAATTGTGTCTGTGTGTGTGTGTGTGTGTGTGTGTATATATATATATATATATATATATATATATATATATATAAAATTGCATTTTACTCTTTTCCAGAGAAATATGACTTAAAGTTACTGATTGACTTTTAAAAGCAAGGAAACCATAAATACTAGAAAAAAACAAATCCTGTTAAATGATACATATCTTGTTTTGAAAACATATATGATTATGATTCAGTTCACACATTAGGAAAAAAATAACATATTTTAACCATAAAAAGTTTTATAGATCTTAGATAATTTTGGAGACGAAGGAAATCTAACAGAAAATTGGAAAGAAACAAAAATATCAATTCTGTCTTTTTTGCTATACAGGGTTTATATAGCATTTTCATAAGCATAAAATATAATATCTCAATTCATTTATACTTAAATAATTTAATGAGATTTTCCATTTGTAAATTACAAAAGATTTCAGGCAAAATGACCTCCTTTACATCAAATTATAAAAAACAATGCAAATATATTTATAGTTCTTTATTAATATTAAAAATTAGGAGATTCTTTGAGTTTTCATGTCTCACAAATTTATACAAAACTGTGTCACTTTTACATTTCATTTTCTTTCCTATAATTCTATGCTCAATATTTACTTGCTCCTAGCTCTGAGCAGTGTCAAAGTAAGAAAATTTAGATCTTTTTGACACTTTTGTAAAGGATCAGATGATTGTGTTGGTATGGGTTTGTCTCTGTGTCTTCTATTCTGTACAATTTGTCTAGGTGTCTGTTTTTATGCTGGAACTATGCAGTTTTTGTTACTATGACTCTATAGTATAATTTGAAGTATAATTTGTTACTATGGCTCTATAGTATAATTTGTGATACCTCCAGCATTTTTAAATTTTTTTGGCTTAAAGTTACTTTGACTATTATGGGTCTTTTGTTCTTTCAAATCAATTTTAGGACTATTTTTCTACTTCTGTGAAATATTGGTATTTTGATGGGGATTGCATTGAATCTGTATATTACTTTTTGTACTATGGCCATTTTAACAATATTAATTCTTTGTATCTATAAACATGGGTGATCTTTCTAAAAAAAAGAAAAAGAAAATTTAGAACTCTTGACAAACCATTTTTAATATTATACAATATATGGAAATTATTCTAAAGTATTGCTGCTGTTTAACACCTGCATTTAGGAATTCAAACATCTGCTTCCTTTAGTTGTTCCATTACAAAAGTATCATTTAATGTAATATTAATTGGACACATAAAATTTTATAGCAATTGTATACAACATGAAATTTTAATGAGCATCATTTAAGTAAAATAAACACAAGTTTAATTTGTTGCTTTTAATAGGCTGTGTGACAGCTAATGGAAGCCACAAATGATCAGGATAAAACATCGACATAAGGCAATCATGATATTTTCTTTCATATTTGATGCTGACCTCCTTCCCCAAGCAAACAGAGAAAAAATGGTACCTAAAATGTATCTTCATTTTACCTTCTATCTTTTCAAAATACCTGGTTGGGTTAGACAGTAATAGAGTCAAAAGAAGTTTTCTTTATGTTAAATGGTCTATTTTCTGATTCCATGAGTATTCTTATTTCACATAAGATGTTTTTGAGTTTCCATTCCCTTTGGCATGTCATATAATATGTTCAAAATGAAATGTGCATACCAGTCAACATCAGATCTTGTTACAATGTGAATTCTTACTCAGTTGGTACAAGTGCTGTGCTTGAGATTCAGTCTCTGGCCCACAGACCATGTTCTGAGGGGCAAGTGTATAAGGGATTCTTTACATAAGTAATATAGCTGAATCTAGAGAGGACATTTTGAGACTTACTATTCCCATTTCTCTCTCTCTCTCTCTCTCTCTCTCTCTCTCTCTCTCTCTCTTTTATTGGCTGTCTTCCAAAACTTCCATTTTACCTTTACTACTTATTATATTTATATTTCTTCTTCTTTTGTGTTTTCCACAATATACATTATGTAACATATGTCATAATATGTTGGTGGAATGGCTAGTCAAAACTGAGGGCCAAAAATAAATAGGAATTTGTAGAATATCTTTTCTTCATAATCCTTGAAGCCAATCTTACATCTTCTTCCAGTGGACCTTGTTAACTTCTTTTAAATAAATTTGTTTTAAATAGTCAGAAGTGTAGTCCCTTTTATGGATGGTAGTTGGCAACTGGCTGTGAGGAGATATGGCAGAATTTTCTGAGGATATGGAAATCCTCATATTCAAATAGGAGTGTGGGTTAGCCTGGTTTATCAATTTGTCAAAATATTACAGTTAATATAATTTCAATTCAATGTTGGTAGATTTGGCCTGAAAAAGAAGAACCCAGAGAATATGATAATAAAAGCAATTGTGTGGAGTGTAGGTAATCACACATGAAGCAATTGTTGACTGAATGTTGATAATTTTAAAACTGACTGATGACCAAATCCTCTCTCATATTGTTATGTATATTTTGTTCATATGAGAAATTATTTTAAAAAATTAAAATGTGCCTAGGAGAAAATGCCTTAGGCATGCCTCTCAACAAAAAGGATTTTTTAAACTTTTATGACTATAATAAAATAAAATATCAAAATAAAGTATCAAAATAAAAAAAAATTCAATGAGATCTTATATTGTTTTCTTTATGAAACTTGAACTGTGGAATAGCACTCTCCTTATATTCAGAGTTTTAGATCTTTTGTCTTACCAAGAGTTAAGGTGGAAAAGAATTACTGATTGATGTCTGAGTTAGACTTCTTGAGTCCTCAAAATAAATGAGTTTAAAAGTTCTGAGCTAGTTTATCTGAGAAACAAAGCGCAGTTCATCATCTAGTCTTGTTGACATTCAAATCTTTTCGTAAAATGTCAGATCTCAGGAGATATCACCATTTCCATCTCTCTTAGATTTAGATTACTGGGCCACCTGCCTCTATATCTACATTCTGACAACATTTAGACTAGAGTTTTAGAAATAAAATCCTCTTAAGTGAAGTACCTAGGGAAGTTGCCTTGTCTCCACAGTGGTTGGAACACACCCTGAGAAGCACAATCTAAACTATTCTGATTCATTTGCTCTTTTCACTTTTGTGGTTTTGATGCCATTTAGAAAGACCTGAATGAAGCTGCGTCTACTTTTCTAAAGACAGACTGTATGCCTGGATCTTGATGTAGACCTCTGTGTCAACCAGGCAAGCAGAGCAGGCCAGTTCTTTGTATCCATTGCAAAGTTAATAGGTCACACTGGGAACAAGGCAGACTTAGACACAGCCTCTTCACACTGAAAGAACTGCACTTGCTTTTGGATATAATGCTTAGGAATGATGTAGGATATCAGATGGCACCTCCCATTTGGGCCTTGAATTCTTTGTCCAGGATCAAAACATAGGGTCTCTGTATTAACCCCAGGAAGCTTATTTAGCAATTGAATTTTATTATTATAATGTCATGGTTCATAAAAGCAATTCTTCCTAATTTCAGAGGCAAGGATTGTAGAAGTTAGTGGTTAATGATGAATTACATGATAATTTCAGTGGGAGAAATCAAGGAACTTATTCTGAATCCACATCACTGCTATAAATATTATCTGAGGCCCTCATCAGTAAGCTGTATGATGCCCTCTTGTCACTGAGAATGGAAACTCAATCTTTTTGTCGAATGATAGATATGACCTTATTAGAGGACCAGGCATGTTTATTCACTGCTTAACAGACATTCCATAGATTAAATTTCCTACAAATAACTATATTATTTTAACAAGATGACCAAATCCCTATTTTTTCTGGATATAAAAGTAACTTTATGTGAATTACATATTCAGTAACTTAGAGCATATTTTGAAACCTATTTGTCTTAGAGGAAATATCAGTTCTTACTTTTCAGCTTAA